GTGATGATGCCACTGCACTCTACCCAGGGTGATAGAGTGAGACTGTTTCAAAAACAAAACAAACAAAAGTTATGTGGAGATGATTTATATATGCATAGGCTGTATCCAAATACTACAGCATTTTATATGACAAACTGATCATTCATGGACTTTGGTATTCCCAGGGGAGGTTCCTGGAACTACTCCCTACCCTATACTGAGGGACAACTATATTTCTACTTGGGCAAAAAGCTCAGAAATCCAGAACATCAGAGAAACTTCCTGCCAATAGGAAGCTGAGTTAAAGTCAGAAGGAGTTAGTGGTTCAATTCGAAGTCTTTTTATCCACAAGAGCCCTCCATTTCATTCCCACTGGATCCCTCTCATCCAGATCCTTAAATACTTTTCACTGGTTCTGTGACAGTGGCTTCCTGTTGGGTCTCATGATGTTTAATCTCCTTCCTGTGGGATCACTTCTGAAGTTTTCCATTGGTACATATTATCAACAGTAGTGGATACTGTGATGAGTTCCTTCCCCCCAAAGGTTATGGCCCAGTTCAGGGATGGGGATGAAGGAATAGAGAGATAATTGAGGTGATGGTTGCAACACAGTGTGAAAAGTGTTGTGGTAAGTGACGAAGAGGATACAGTGAGGACATTGCAGGACAAACGTATCTGGATTTAAGGGTAGTGAGGAGAGTTTCCTTCATTTTCTTGATTCTCGTTATTGAGCGTTGGCCAACTTTGAGAACCCTCACTTCAGACATCAGGCCACAGTTCTCTGTATTTGTTCTTCCTGCTATCCCAATCCTAGCCTCAGAGGAGGGGGGGTCATGCCGTGTTACTGCATGGCCATAGACAGAGGTCTTCTGGTTAAAGTCATATGAAGAGATACAGGCAGGAATTAGCAGTCCGTGGCTCCTATGCAATCAAGAATAGTCCAGAGATTTTAAAAGATCCTTGCCAAAAAGTAAACATTTAAGGGCTAAGCAAGTAGGTTAGGGACTGACACAAGTAGTTCTGATATTGGGGATCCCTTATGTAGGTAGAGCACTTTACAAAGCACTGTGATAGCCATTACCCCTTGGATGCCTTATGGTTAAAGGAGGGAGGGGGGCAGGTCTTCCCACAACTCTACATAAGAAGACAGCGAAGCTAGGAAGGGTCAGGGCCAGGGCCAGTATTCAAATCTGGGTCTCCTGGCTCCACATCAGGCATGTTGTCCCTTCTGCTGGTACCCAGGAGCAAAATTCTCTTTATGAACTTCTGAGTTCTTATGAACTGCTGAGTCTGTGCTGCTGCTGGGCTGGGAGGGATTAGGGGTCTGAGTGTGTAGGTTCTAGCAGAAGCAGCTGCCTGCAGATAGACTGCTGATGTCATGCACAAATGGCGATGTGGCTGCTTAGGTCTTCAGTAGCGTGCCCTAAAGGATGACCCCTCTCCTGGTCAGCACCACCCTTCTTTGGCTCCACAGGCCTACCCAGGCAAACACCAGATCCTGGGGGAGTTGCTGTCCCAGAGCTTTATGTTCCTGAAGAACCCGCAGGCCTTCTTCAGGTTAGCTTCAGTCACTTTCATAGGTAAGGTGGGGGCTCCTGGCATTTCCCCCCTCCTCTCTTCAGCAGGGCAGCCCTCCTTGATCTTCTGCTAAAGGCCAAGCACACCCATGGTATGAAGAACAGGTCACTCCTGTCTCAGCCTTGACCTGATTAGAGAGGTGGACCTGAGACCAGGCCTCAAATTAGAAAGGCTTGGGGAGAGAAGTGCAAGCTTGTGCCTTTACCCCAACTCTGTGTGAGTCCCTCCATGGTCTGGGCTCTGTTCTGTGGGAAAGTTAGCATGTGCACCAGAAATGGGGGAAAACTATTGCTTCCACTGGGGCCCCGTGGACTTTCCAAAATGTTTTTGTTTTGAATTATAGTAGGAATGTGTGTTAATGTTAGAAACACTAAAATATTATGATTTGAAAAAAAAAGAAAATATTCACAAATTCCAACATTTATATTTAACCATGGCTAACCCTCTGAATCCTTTTTCCCAAGAATGCAGATAAGTGCACACA